TGTTATAGAAATACAACATTCTGTTTCAATTCTGCTTTCATCCATTTCATGTACAATTGAAAAATATATAACTGATCATCCAAATTATGAAGACTTAAGGTACTTACTAAACTTTTGTAAAAATCCTTTCGAAGAAACTAGAACGGAATATAGACTTTTAAAAATTTTAAAAGAACTAAACTTTTATGATGATCCAAAGGTTTATGTAATTAGCAATCAAGTCTCGGAAATTGTTATCAGCGGAAATCCCAGTTTAGGTCCAAAGTTATCCAATATTTATATAATGCCACTGAAATTCATGATAAGTGCCCTTTTTAAAATTCCAAATCTCTTAGATTTGACATTAGAAAACTCCAAAAAATTCCTAAATTCACCTGTTTTACAAAATTTTACAAACGGTGAGTTATATAAAACTAAATTATTAAAATATCAGTACAATTTAGTTATTCCCTATGTCCTTTACATGGATGATTTTCAAATTAATAATCCTCTTGGAACCCATACATTTTCCATATGTGGTTGTTATATTAGCTTTCCTTCAATGCCACAGCACTTGTTGTCAAAACTTGATTATATATTAACTGCTGCGTTTATACCATCAAAGGATTTAAAAGAACGTGGAAATGAAGTTTCATTTCACAATCTTGTAGAAGAGTTAAAAATTCTAGAAGAAGGGGTTGAAATTTGTGTTCAACAAAGTGTTCAGAAGGTGCATTTTATTTTAGGTGTAATTATTGGAGATAATTTAGCAGTTAATAGTATTTTAGGCTACGTGCAATCATTTAACTCTAAAAGATTTTGCCGGGTATGTAGAAGAAAAAAGTCCCAAATGCAATTCGACGCAATTCAGCATTTAGATAGTTTAAGAAACCAAGAGAATTACAACTCAAATGTATTGGAAAATAATTTTCAAGAAACAGGTATTAAAAACAAGTGTATCTTCGAATCTTTACCAAATTTTAACGTCACTGAAAATTTTTGTTTTGATATTATGCATGACATTTTCGAGGGCATATGTGTCTACGATATGTCTAATGTAATTCTCGGGCTGATTCAAGAAAATATTGTTACGTTAGATTGTATTAACAGCAGAAAATCTTTATTCCAATTTGGAGAAATTGAAGTGGGAAATAAATCTGGACCACTAGATTTATGTAGATTGAAAAACTATAACTTAAAAATGACAGCTAGTGAAACTATGTGTTTTACTAATTTTTTACCTTTAATGGTAGGCGATTTAATTCCTTTCTCCAACGATCACTGGAAAGTTTTTATAATATTATTACAAATAATCGATTTACTTTTAAGACCAAGTTATATAGAAGACGATTTAATAAAATTGGAAGAATTAATTAGAGATCACCATTCACTTTATATAACATTATACGGTTCGTTAAAACCGAAACACCACTTTCTTGTCCACTATCCCACAGCTATCCGAAAATGTGGTCCCCTTAAATATCTCTGGAGCATGAGATTCGAAGCTAAACACAAGGAAGCAAAAGCCTATTTAGGAAATACTACATCAAGAGTAAATCCCTGTCGTTCATTATCTATTAAGTCTGGATTGAAATTTTCCAATTTTTTATTAAAACACGAAGATAACTTAGAACCAAATGTTATCATTAATACGCATACCATCGAAGATTTGGCAAAAGAGGAATATTGTTACAAAAAAAGTAAGCCAGTTTTAAATTACCAAAATTGCAAAGTGTCTGATGACATTTTTTTTAAGGGAACTAGGTATAAAAAAAACTATTATTTAGCAACAAATAATGCCGCAATTGAACTTTTCAAAATTAAACATTTAATAATTGAAAATGAAAATGTTTACATTTTATGTAACCAAGTAAAAGTTAAAAACTTTGATTACCATTTACAATCGTATGAAGTTGGTTCTCTGAATGAGGATACAATTTTTTTAATACCAATTTTAGATTTTATTACTTACCCATTTCACTTATATCCTATGAATAATGGAAAAGTTTATTTCAGATTTAAGTTAATTTAATTTGTTTCTATACATTGAATATATGTAATTCGAATTGTTTTGTTAAATCAAATATGTATTTATATTGAATTTATGTAATTGGTTTCGTTCAATAAAATACTTTTCAAAAAATGTCGTTTCTTCTACTAAGGGTATAAAATGGAAAAGGAACGGATATCAAAAAATGACCACCATTGATTTCAATCTGACAACGGGCGTTGACAATCCGACAACGGAGCGTTGACAATCTGACAACGAAGCGTTGACGATCTGACAACGAAGCGTTGACAATCTGACAACGGGGCGTGCTCGAAATGACCACGTATGTGCTCATTTCATGCACATCTGTTGTTGAAATCGTTGCCAAAATCTCGGTGTCAAAATGACAACAGCGTGCTCATTTTGACACCAAACGTGGTTGATACACTATCATACACGGATGTGGTCATTTCATACACGGATGTTGTCATTTTTTCTCTGGGTGTAGAACTGATGCAAATATTAGGATTTGCAAAGTTACAGCAAAATCGGACTATCCTTTCTCTATCAGTGCACTTAAATCTCTGTGTCTTTTTTTGTTTTCTCCTATTTTTCGGGAGGTTCCAGATGGAGTGGACCGATATTGTCCATTTCCGAACTCGATCTATACTTCAAACTAATATTACGATGTACCAAGTTCGGACCACGTCGGATACTCGCTTCGAGAGTTATCATGTCCACTATCCTGAAACGGATTTAGTCAAAGAGCCATACCAAATGATATATACCCTCTCTACCCATATGGCTGAATGTATTACAAGTTAAAAAGCAGTTAAGTTCGGCCGGGCCGAAATTTGAATGCCCTAAACCATTTGGAACGAATTTGAAAATTTTCAAATAATATAATCCTTTAAAAATTCTGTTAAAATTTTAAAAATATCGAATATAACCGTTACATTGGGATCTATACGGCGTGGACGTACATAGGCATTGTTTGTCATAAGCCATTACCATATTCAAATTCGAAACGTGAAATAAACGGTGAATAATGTAGCTAAAATCATCCAAATATCGTATATAGGGAGGTACCGTTATATCGGAGCTGTGCGAAGACCTGGATCAGCATAGACAATTTTTATATTTATTAATTATTGCGGTATATAATGGTGCTGAAATCATCAAAATATCCAATATCGGCAGGTACCGTCATTTGGGGGCTATAGAAAGATGTAGATCCGCATTCGAAATATATTGCCATCGGTTGTAATACCCATTAGGATCTTCAAATACGAAATTTGAAGTGATTCCGGTTAATAATGGTGCTGAAATCATCAAAATATCGAATATCGGGAGCTAACGTTATATGAGGGCTATACGAAGTCCACGTCTTCGTTTGCACACAAAAATGTTTGTCATAGGCTGGAGTACACGTTACGAACTTCAAATATGAAATTTGAAATAATTCCGGTAAATAATGTCGCTAAAATCATAAAAATACCGAATATCGGCAGGTACCATTTTACGGGGGCTATACGAAAACTTGGACCGACATGGCCTATGTACAAACCAAACCTGACTACTGGTAATCTATGTATATAGGCAAATGTTTAGCCTTCTATCTCAATTCGTTCAAAAGATAGCGTGACGGACAGACAGACTGACATCGCTAGATCGTCTTAGAATTTTTTTGGCCAACCAGAAAATACATACCTTTTAGGGTCTATTATGAATATTTCGAGGAGTTGCGAATATACCCTCAATACAATGATGGCGGATGTAAAATTAGGGAAAATAATGAGGGTGTTTTACGGGCATCTTTGAAGACTCTTAATAGTTTAAAGGAAGATTTATTTGAATATTTTTTTTTTTTTGTCGAACTATCAAAACGGGTAAACTGTTTAAGGCCACATTTCAGCTATAAATAGGCCAGTTGTTGCTCCATTCCATGGAGGGTATATTAATTTTGTCATTGCGTTTATAACTCCTCGAAATACTCATGACAGACCCAACAAAGCGTATATATTCTTGATCAGTGTAAAATTCTAAGTTGACTTAGCGATGTCTGTCTGTCTGTCCGTCTGTCTGTCCATCTGTCTGTTGTAATCACGCTTTCTTTCGAAAAAAGTGAGATAGATGGCTAAAATTTTGCACACATGTTTATTTTGCCAGTAGGCAGGTTAAGTTCGTAAATGTGTCATGAAGGTCCACGTTTTCTTATAGGCCCCATATGACGGTACCTCCCGATATTCGAAATTTTAGAGATTATAGCGACATTATTCACCGGAATTGTTTCAAATTTGGCATTTCAAGTTCGTAATGGATACTACAGCCTATGACAGAAAATTTTCTGTGCAGGTCCACGTCTCCATATAGCCCTCATATAACGGTACCTCCCAATATTCGGGTTTTTTGATGATTTCAGCATCATTATTCACCGGAGTAGTTTAAAATTACGTATTTAGAGTTCGTAATGAGAACTACAGTCTGTGACAGAAACTTGCCTATGCAGGTCCAGGTCTTCGTATAGGCCCATATATCAGTACCTCCTTATATTCGGTATTTTGACGATTTTAGGTACAATACTCACCGAAATTGTTTGAGATGTCGTATTTGAAGTTCGTAATGGATGCTGCAGCCTGTGACAGAAAATTGTCTATGCAGGTCCAGGTCTTCGCACTCGGAGCCGTGGTACATCCCTATATACGATATTTGTATGATTTTAGCTACATTATTCACCGTTTATTTCAAGTTTCGAATTTGAATTTGGTAATGATTTATGACAAACAATGCCTGTGTGGGTCCACGTCGTATTGACACCAATATAACGGCTATTTTATTTTATTTGTATTTTAAAAATTTTAACATAATTTTTTAAGGATTTTATTTCCGAATTTGTTCCATATTGTGGAGGGTATTCAAAGTTCGGCCCGGCCGAACTAACTGCTTTTCATTTTTTTTTTCTTTGGATCGGATATTGGTTATTGAAATTATATTTATATAATTTATATCAATTATCGCCACTCATACTCACCGATGTTTATGATGTTTACGTTTTGTACTATCACTTGGAACTATTTTTTCGAGGTCATCATTTTTATCTGATTCCATTTGCAATTGTATGTCATAAGCGTAATCTTCCGTATAGGGATATTGACTGGATTTCCAATGTGGACAGTTACATTTCACGCACACAATTCGCAGTCCGATTTCAATTCCGATTCCAATCCAATGTTATTGTTTGCCAGCAGCATGGTATCAATGGCAAAAAGTCACAATTGTCCAATTGTTCAGTCGACCGGCAAAAAGGAGATTTTCGATGTTTGTTGACACACAGACACACACACACGAAGAAACAGACAGGGTTCAGTCCAGGCATCAAAGACATGAATTCCACATCATCAAGTCATTCGGTGTGCCAAGAAAAGTGAACAAAACATGAAATGAAAACAAAAAAAAACCCACAAAGAGATAGAAACAAACAAATAGACAAACACACAAAGTGAATTAGAAGTCAAGAAGAAAATGGAACGAGAAAAAAATTATTAATAATGTGTTCATTCGTGTCAAAAAATGTTCATAAACTATAGTTCCTTTGATAAGAATTTATAATTAATGTTGGTTTTTTGTTTGGTCTTTTATTTTGGTGTCATCAGGGTGTTTGTGTGTGTCAAACACACACACACACACAAGAGTATATGTATACATCATTAGTTTTCATTGGGCGGAAAAGGTTCAAGGATCTTTTTCTGCTTACAGGTGTGGATTATACTTACATAGGATCATTAGGTGGCATAGACAGTATGCAGTGCTGCAAACCACTCGTTGCTGGATAGACCAATACTGGATCGGAACAGCGATGATAACGTTCTGTAAGAATATGGCAAAAGAAAAATTAATAATATGGACAATTACAAAAACATTAAGATATATTAGAATTTCTATAAAAAAGTTAAAAAATATCTGTCGGTTTTGCCTACAGATGTATACCCTCAGCCAATGTACGATTACGATTTAAAAATATTTTGGCTTCTGCTATGATTAGTCAAATGTTTAACCCCTTGTGGAGTAGGTTTCGAAGGAATGTGCCAATATTGGCCATTTCGTATCGGACCTAATAATATTATATAACAAGTTTAAAATCAGTAAGTTCAGCCGGGCCGAACCCTCCTCCATACTATGGAGGGTATATTGACTTTGTCATGCCGTTTGTAACTCCTCGAAATACCCATGTCAGACCCAACAAAATATATATATTCTGGATCAGCGTAAAATTCTAAGTCGATTGAGCGATGTCCGTCTGTCTGTCTGTTTGTGCATCTGTCCGTCTGCCTGTCCGTCTGTCTGTCTGTCTGTCTGTCTGTCCGTCTGTCTGTTCTAATCACGCTATCTTTCGAACAAATTAAGATAGATGGCTAAAATTTTGCACACATGCTTATTTTTCCAGTAGGCAGGTTATGTTCGTGAATGGGCCATGTAGGTCCACGTTTTCATATAGCCCCCATATAACGGTACCTACCGATATTCGGTATTTTGATGATTTTAGCGACATTATTCACCGGAATTATTTCAAATTTGGCATTTGAAGATCGAAATGGATACTACACTCTAAGACTGAAAATTGTCTGTGCAAGTCCACGTCTTCGGTCTTCGTATAGCCCCCATATAACGGTACCTCCCTATATTCGGTATTTTGATGATTTTAGCGTCATTATTCACCAGAATTGTTTCAAATTACGTATTTAGAGTTCGTTATGGGAACTACAGCATGTGACAGAAAATTGTCTGTGCAGGTCCAGGTCTTCGTATAGGCCCATATATCAATACCTCCCTATATTCGGTATTTTGATGATTTTAGCGACATTATTCACTGGAATTGTTTCAAATTTGGCATTTGAAGTTCGAAATGGATACTACACTCTAAGACAGAAAATTGTCTGTGCAAGTGCACGTCTTCGTATAACCCCCATATAACGGTACCTCCCAATAATCGGTATTTTTATGATTTTAGCGTTATTATTCACCAGAATTATTTTAAATTACGTATTTAGAGTTCGTTATGGGTTGGGATGGCTGTAGTCATGTGATAGAAAATTGTCTGTGCAGGTCCAGGTCTTCGTACAGGCCCATATATTAGTACCTCCCTATATTCGGTAATTTGACGATTTTAGGTACAATACCCATCGAAATTGTTTGATTTGTGGTATTTGAAGTTCGTAATGGATGCTACAGCCTGTGACAGAAATTTTTCTATGCTAGTCCAGGTCTTCGCACAGCTCCGATATAACGGTACCTCCGATATTTTGATGATTTTAGCTACATTATTCACCGTTTATTTCACGTTTTGAATTTGAATATGGTAATGGCTTATGACAAACAATGCCTATGTAGGTCCAAGTCGTATAAACCCCAATATAACGGCTATATTTGGTATTTTTAAAATTTAAACAGAATTTTTTAAGGATTTTTTTTTTTCGATTTTATTTCGAAATTCATTCCAAATGGTGGAGGGCATTCAAAGCTTGACCCGTCCCAACTTACTGCTTTTTAACTTGTTTGCTTTAATTTTATTGAATGAAAGCAAAAAATTTCGGAAATAGCATCATATTTTGGAATATTGGCACGAATTATGGCCTTTAAACGGCCAATAAAACCGTCACACCCTGCCCGAATGTTGTTCTGCGGTATTTTGGCCCATTCCCGGCGAAGCGCTTGCTTGAGGTGATCGACACTTTGGCATTCTTCAGTGCCAACCTTGCTTATAGTCCAATAGTCCAACGGATTGTTATCCGGAGATTTTGGTAGCCATTGTGCTCTGGCAATGAATCGAGGAACCTTATTTTGTAACCATTTTTCGATCAAGTCGTTTTTTTAGTTTTCGAACCATTTCTACTGATGTTTCTGTTTTCTTCCCTCCACATCCTTTAGCGATGGTACGAGACACAAAAGATTTTTTCTCATTTAAATCCTGGAGTGCCCTAACGATAGCCACTTTTGGTTTTCCAGCCAAATATATAGAAATCACACTATCACGCTTGAATTCCATCACGAATAACTTTTTTTTCTGGAAAATTCTCACCGAAATGCTTTTGTACGCTTGTAAACAATATAATGAGCTGTCACTGGACTAATTTTAATAGCTGTCGGAGTGGCTTAGAAATGACTGTCTGAAGTTGGTTGCAATATTTTTCATCTCACCCTGTATTGGTAACTTCCTCCACTTTACCTGAGATATATGATAATTTTTAGAGAATTTTAACATGTGCGAGAGGTACCAGATATAGTCGAGCGAAGCATTCCATTTTCATGCTTCAACTAATACGTTTAAAAATACTGGTATGGAAATTCATAAATTTCAAATTCATCTCAGGTTTCTGGCAAAGAGAGTTATATTTAGACATAGCAAGTTGTAAAGAATCACTGACTTGTTTCGCAAATTATGATATATGAAAGCTTTGAAAATCTAACCCTTTGTGAGTGAGCTACCAGGAAGGGGTTCACAGATATTTATCATCGTTGTGTTCTTGAAAATATTGAACCCTATAGGTAGGTAGCGAAAGAAATGGTCCGATATCTAGCATCTTATAACAGGTACTGTGTTGATAGAAATATTCAGATGCGTCAAGCCTAAATGGAATCGAATGTTAATTTCGCGTTTTATGAGCTTCATGGATATTCAAAATTTCGACCTATTTGTGGGGGAGGTATCAGAAGGAGTAGACCGATATATCCCATCTTCATAACAGATCTTATGTTAGTGAAAATAATGGGATGTGTGAAATGCTTATTTGGGATTTTGTAAACATTTTGGTTATTCAAAATGTTGACCCCTTTCCCACAAAGGGGAAAAGTCCGATCACTACCGTTTTTACAACACATCCTGTATTCATAGAAATATTCAGATGTGCCAAGTCTAAATGGAATCGCATATTAATTTCGCGTTTTATTAGCTCAATACATTTTCAAAATTTGACCTTTTGTCGGGGAGGTACCAGAAGGAGTGGACTGATGTATTCTACCATGGCACCACACCTTGGGTTAATAAAATTATTGGGATGTGTGAACTTTGAAGACAATCGGACTTTTACATCAGATTTTATAAGAGTTGTAATTATTCAAAATGTTGACCCTTTGTGGGGGAGGTACCTGATAGAGTGGACCGATATTAACCATTTTTGCACCTGACCTAGCACTGGTGAGATTATAAGGATTTGCAAAGTTGGAGCAAAATCGGTTTATCCTTTCTCTTCCTGTGCAGAAAATATATTTTCTTTGAAAATTTCGACCTTTTGTGGGGGAGGTACCCGATGGAGTGGATAGCTATTGTCCATTTTCGGACCTGACCTAGCACTGATGAAAATATCACGATTCGAAAAATTGGAGCAAAATCGGATTATTTTTTCTCTTTCTGTGCAAATAATAGTTTTTTGAAAATTTCGAACTTTTGTGGGGGAGGTAGCAGAAGGAGTGGACTGATATGTTCCATCTTCACACCAGACCTTAGGTTAATAAAATTATTGGGTTGTGTAAAATTCGAAGACAATCGGTCTCTTACATCACATTTTATGAGACTATTCAAAATGTTTACCCTTGGTAGGGGAGGTACCTGATTGAGGCGACCGATATTATCAATTTTCGTACCTGACATATCACTGACGCAAGTATTAGGATTCGCAAAGTTGGAAAAAACCGGATTATCCTTTCTCTTTCTTTGCAAAAAATTATTTTCTTTAAAAATTTTGACATTTTGTGTAGGAGGTACCAGAAGAGTGGACCGATACTGCCCATCACCGAACTCGATCTAAATTTAACAATAATATTACGATGTACCAACTTTGGATCAAATCGGATACTCCCTTCGCCAGCCAGACGGACAGACATCGCTAGATCGACTCCAAATGTCCTGAAACGGATTTGGTACAAAGAGACCTAGGGTATAAAACCATTATTTCGATAAGGTACGTTTTGGCCGAATCAAATGATATATACTCTCTGTAGCCATATGGCTGAGGGTATACAAATATTTAGGGTCTACTAGAAAGTGGGCGTTTAAGGACTAAAAAAATTGTAGATTAAAAAAAGCTAAAAAGTGTCAGTCGGACAAATATCTGCCCTCAGCCAATGTTTGATTATTGAAATATATTTTGACTTTTGTTATGATTATTCAAATTGTTGATCCTCAATGGAGTAGCTACTGAAGCAATGGGCCTATGTTGTCCATTTCGTATCGTAACTAAATAAATATGATAAAAATATTGCGACGTACCAGGTTTGGACTATATGGACTACTTCCTTCACTTTATATGAGATATGCGATAATTGTTAGAAAATGTTGTGCGTGAGGAACCAGATATAGTCGACCAAAGTTCTACATTTTCTTACTTCATCTAATACAAATAAGAATATTTCATAATCATTTTTCGATGTACCAAGTTTGGACCAAATCGGATACTCTCTTCGAAAGTTATCGTGAAAGTAATCAGCAGACAGACATACGGACAGACGGACGGACATCGCCAGATCGACTCCAAATGTCCCCAAAGAAACTTAGGGTCTAAAACCGTTATTTCGATGAGACACGTTTTGGTCGTATCAAATGACATATACCCTCTGTAGCCACGTGGCTGAGGGTATAAAAAACTGGAAATCCTATGAATAAATTTTTAGGACTTTCTGGTTATTTTTTCAAGGACTAAAATAACATGTCCATGTCCATGCAGGGCTTAAATAATGCACTATGACAAAACCTGACGTATGCAGGTCCACGTCTTCGTATAGTCCCCATACAACGTACCTCCCGATATTCGACATTTTAATGATTATAGCGGCATTATTCACCGGAATTATTTCAAATTTCGTATTTGTCATATAAAGAGGTTAATTTAAGAGGTATTTCGCTACGATCTGTTTGGTTTTTTGAAAATTTTCTAGTTCTTTCAAAATGGCGGAGGCCGAACTTAGCTGTTTTTTTTCTAGTTAAATATTTTGTCAAGGGCTAACAGCTCCCTAATCGTAGAAATTAAGGATCAGCTTTAAAGTGTCTACTCACTGTATTTTCTCTTCTTGCGCCGATACTCATCATCGCTACCGCTCTGACCCGATGGAATGATGTGTTGTGCCGGGAAACGATGTTGTTTCTCCTTCAGACGCGATCCGGATGATTTCGTTGTTGTACAACAACCTGTGGGGCCAATGCTCGAACCAGTCGATGTTGAGGTCATGCGATGCAGCTTTGCCGTGTCATCGTTTAGCGACGAGGTGGTCGTTGTGGCAGCGGTGGTGGTGGTGTTGGTTACAATGGCGGCATTTTCCGAACCTACCGCTGCTGCTGGGCCACCCATCAATGTGGATGAGGAATACGATTCGATCACAGGATATTGCTGAGGCAGTTCTGAGTTGGCCGATGCCATGGTGACAATGTGCAAAGATTGCGATGGAATATCACTGGGCGTCTTGGGCGCCCGGTTGGTGATCTGGGTGGGAGCTATGGGCGATTTGGTGACTAATTTGAAACTATCTACTAAGATTTTCTGCTTACTATTGCTTGCAATGTGTAATTGTTGTAGTTCGGCTAGGGGAAGTTGTTGTTGCAATGGCAGCTCTAGGGGTGCTGGTGGTGAGGCTGAGGCCACGGGCGAGGGCTGGGCTGTTTCGCATGGTGGTGGCATGGGTGGTGGCGGCCGCGTGCGGCCATTGCCCAAGGCCACCAAAACACTGGTGCTTTTCGATTTGAAGCGATCGTTGATGTTGACGGGTCGAGTTGAACGCCCCACAAAATCGGCCACTGAGGGAGCGCCATGCAGCGAAGTGGAATCGCTTTGATTCAGTAATGTACTGACGGTGATGTTGGCACTGTCCTCGGAGGTGTTTTGCCGGGAAATGTTGCGCGACTCAAAAAGGCTGTCGGTGTAGGAAAATTGATTGGGCAAAAAACGTCTGCGGGAGGCCATGTCGCTGTCCTGCTCTGGTAGCTCGGCCAAAGGCATGGGTTCAATGATGTTTATGGGTGGTTGGGTGGTGCTCGGCGATGTCCCCACCACGGCGGCTTTAGTGACTGGCGGTGACATGGCTTTCGGCGGAGCATGGACCATGGTGCGTATGACATGCCGCGAGGGCAGTATAGGACTGCATTGGGCACTAATCGACTTGGCCTCCAGGATACGTTGCCGCTTGGCAGAGGCCTTGATGCGTTCATAGGCCACATCTTCGGGTATGATTTCGGTGGCCCCAAAACTAACGGTACAGCGTGAACTGGCAAAGGACAGGCTCTCAATGCTGTCCCGCATTGAGGTGAGACTATCCTCACACAGTGTGTTTGAATTGAGCCGGGCTCCGGCTCCATTGTCATAGCCACTTGCCAGGGAACTGGTATCACAGGTAAGCTCACGTGAGTGGCCTGCAGGATGGGTGGCGGACACGGAAGGTTTCTTTTCAGCCTTTGAGTCCGCCGATGAGCTTGAGGTGTGGACCTCTGTGGGTGTGCCATGGGTTTGGGCCATAACCAAAACGTTATGTTTCACCATTTTGCCCGACGAATTGCTAAGGGTGCTGGCAACGCTGTCCTCCGGACCTGTCCCATGAGGATGCTGCTGTTGTTGTGGTTGTTGTTGTTGCGTTTTTTGTGTCTCTGAACTGGCAGTGTTCGATTTCGATTTGGACCTGGTGGTAGGCGAATAACGCAGCTGGGCCGACTGTTGACTGGAGAGTGGTGGACTCTGCGCCGAGGACATACTGCGATCGGTTTCAATGTCCAATGACTGGGCTTGGACATGGTCCTTGCGAATGGCAGTTTTTTGCATTGGCATTTTCGTTAGTTTCTGGGGTGTTGTGGGTTCCGAATGGGCCTGCATAATCTTGTCCACACTGCCGCCAGCCGATTCACTGAGCATGGAACTTTTCCGTGAGTCAACGCTGCTAAATAAACGCTTGGCCAAGAATATCCTGCCAATGGATTTGCGTTTCAATCGTTTATTGCGCTTGCGCTCCTCACAGTCTCGCTTCATGGCCTGCATTTTCTTTTCGAGCAGGGAATTGAAAACCAGTTCATAGGTCACGGCCCGCTGATAGTCCTCCAGATCGGGTATGCCATAGGTGGAGACGGCCTTGTCCGATTTACTTAGAGGACCCCCGCCCTCGTCCATGGGAGTTGTGGGGCTTGGCAGTTCCTCGGCCAAGGGGTGTGGCATTGCCACTCCCTCCTTTGGCTGGTCTCTGGATGTCAACTCTCCTCTGCATAACTCCGCAGCCGCATCCTTGTGTTCCGCTGTTGAAGATTGCTTTTGAATCGTATCATCGTCCATTTTAGAATTTTGATTTATTAACGCCACGCCGCTCTCAGCTTTCGATACTATAATGCTGATAGCTTCCGGCTATGGCTCAACATTTGGCACAACTCTGGCCGCTGCAGAAAGTCACCGAGTTGGGGGAGGAGGGGAGGATGTGGCAAAAAGAGATGCTGGTGTTGTTGTTTGTTTTTGCGACTATTAGAGCTTAAAGGGAATTTGGGTGGCAGCCGCTGCTTCTGTGGCTGTGGCTGCTGTTTGTTTACGGCTATGCCTGACGTTGACAAGGACCACAAAGTTGCTGTTGTTGTTTTAGTTGTTGTTGTTGGCAAGTGAAATGACAATGACACTTTGATTGATAACCTAGATGTGAATGCTAATGTTCTCGCTGTGACTCGCCCGACTCGGCTGACAATGGCGGCTATTATTATCGCTCTGAGGGAAGATAGTTGCGTTTCCGCTCCTTTCGCTGCCGCAGAAAATAAAGCTGGTATTGACTTGTTATTGTTGTCGGATTCAGATTCTGATGCTGCTGATGCTTCTGGTTCGGCTTCTATTGATGACGACAATTTTTTCAACATTTTTCATTCGTTTTGCATTCCAACAAACCAAGTGACAATGACAACAATATTGCTGATGACACTCCTTCTCCGCCTAACAACAAGGACGATGACACCCCTAACAATGATGTTGTTGTTGTAAATATTTGCACAGATTTCCGATACCCAGACAAACAAAACATATTGACATTTATATGTGTGTGAATGTGTGCGGGTGGACCAGCTCTCTTCGATGGCGAACAATTCAATTTACTGGGTATCCCTCAGCTCTTCCCCGTTTTGTCTTCGAAAATGGTGTCTTTATATTCTTGAGAAAGCACCGAACAATGAAAGCAACTAGAAAAGATTATTTTTCACATTTCTTTGATTGCGTTTTACTTTATCCCCTGTTTCTCGTTTTTGTGTGTTTTACTGAAAAATTGTTGTCTATTCTTCTGTGATGAAATGAAGGAATCCAGTAGATTGTTGACAACGTCTGGAAGAGAAGAAAAAGGGGAGAATGTTAAAAATGTTATATTGTTATTTACAGAAAAACATTGAAAGGAAAGGAAATTAAATTTTGTGGTTAAAATTGATTATGACATTTATTTCAAACCAGATTGGAGGTTATATTTAAAATTTTTTTCCAGTAAATGCACACACACACACCTGAATTGTTGTTAATTAAAAGAAGAAAAATATCTGAAAGTTCTCACCAACTTGTGCAAAATATATTTCCCAAGAATCTTGCAAACGAAGATACAATTAAAAAACATGAACATTCGATCATAAAAACCTGAACAGGAACAACAGGGTGAGATAAAAATGAACTGCATTTTTTTTTGACATTTTTTATTAATTTACCGAATAAAAGCTAAAAATGTCGGAAATAGCATCAAATTTTAGACTATGTTTAGATTTGTTCGAATTGGTCACCTTTGGCACGAATTAGAGCCTTCAAACAGCCAATGAATCCTTCACACGCTGCCCGAATGTTATTCTGCTATATTTTGAGCCATTCCCGGCGAAGCGCTTACTTGAGGTGATCGACACTTTGGTATTTTTTAGTGCCAACTTTGTTTTCAAAATACTCCAGACACAATAGTCCAACGGATTGGTATCCGGTGATTTTTGTGGCCATAGTGCGCGTGCGTGGGTGGCGCGTACTGAGTCCTGCTAAGTCCTACTTGATACGCATAGTGGTATAGGATATCAAATAGTCGGACGTCAAGAGTCCGACTTCCAAATCATGGAGAGTATTCGAAGTTCTTCACTTGTGGTTTTTATTTTTCGGACTCAATACCTAATTTTGAGATGCATTGAGTTTTTATGTTCACTCTTCCAGCGTACGTGACAGTAATACACATGTCATACCCTCAACGCCTAATGAACGCCTAAACATACATACATACATACATAAAAAAGTTCTTGGAAAAATCTCCCATTTTATTATTTTTTTTTTGTCAAAATTTATTGATATTTTATGACATTTATGACTCTTAAGAAGACATTAAAAACTGACTGTGTTCTTTTTTTATTAAAGGAAAAAAAAAACGAAGAAAAAATTTAAATCTTTATCCAAATGTTGGAAGATTTATTGCCATAGGTCATTAAAAATGTTATGGGTGTTCAATGGGGCAATATCCCGACCCGTTGTATACCACTCGAACGAAACGTTGTAATAAAGAAATGAAGGCGGGAAAAACACACACACACACCCACTTACATTGCAATGCCCTATGAAGTGAGTGGGGGAAAGGGTGTGCTCTGCATTCATGATGTGTATGAAAAGGATATCATGTTGTAGTGGTGGTGGTAGTGGTAGTAACAGAAATCATTATCCCATTTTTTTGGGTATAGACAAACATTGAAATTGCTTTTTATTGGCCATATTGAAGTGGAATGCAGTAAGAGGTCGGTAGTTTAAAGCAACAGCTGCCGTCGTGTGGTTGGAGGACAGTGGGTCTAGTTGGAAGGAAATCTACCGGGTCAGATACAAAAACTGTAACAAAGTCAAAAGCCACAGTTTTTACATTTCTCTTTTTTATACCCTCCACCATACTATGGAGGGTATTTTAACTTTGTCATTCCGTTTGTAACTCCTCGAAATACTCATGTCAGACCCAACAAAGTATATATATTCTTGATCAGCGTAAAATTCTAAGTCGCTAAATCGACTTGTCCGTCTGTCTGTCTGTCCGCCTGTCTGTCTGTCTGTTGTAATCACGCTATCTTTCGAATGAATTAAGATAGATGGCTAAAATTTTGCACACATGTTTATTTTTCCAGTAGGCAGGTCAAGTTCGTAAATGGACCATATAGATCCACGTTTTCATATAGCCCCCATAAAACGGTACCTCCCGATATTCGGTATTTTGATGATTTTAGCGACATTATTCACCCGAATTGTTTCAAAATTGGTATTTGAAGTTCGTTATGGGAACTACAGTCTGTGACAGAAAATTGTCTGTGCTGGTCCAGGTCTTCGTATAGCCCCCATATAACGGTACCTCTCTATGTTCTGTATTTTGATGATTTTAGCGACATTATTCACCGGAAGTGTTTCAAATTTGGTATTTGAAGTTCGAAATGGATACTAAACCCTAAGACAGAAAATTGTCTGTGCAGGTTCGCGTCTTCGTATAGCCCCCATATAACGGTACCTCCTGATATTCGGAGTTTAGATGATTTTAGAAACATTATTAACCGGAATTGTTTCAAATTTGGTATTTGAAGTTCAAAATGGATACTACATCCTACGACGGAAAATTGTCTGTGCAGGTCCACGTCTTCTTATAGCCCCCATAAAACGGTACCTCCCCATATTTGGTATTTTGATGATTTTAGCAACATTATTCACCGGAATTATTTCAAATTTGGTATTTGATGTTCGTAGTGGATGCTACAGCCTATGACAGAAATTTGTCTGTGCTGGTCACGTCTTCGTATAGCCCCCATATAACGGTACCTCCCTATGTTCGGTATTTTGATGACTTTAGCGACATTATTCTCCGGAATTGTTTCAAATTTGGTATTTGAAGTTCGAAATGGGTACTAAACCCTAAGACAGAAAATTGTTTGTGCAGGTCCACGTTTTCATATAGCCCCCATATAACGGTACCTCCCGATATTCGGTATTTGATGATTTTAGCGTCATTATTCACCAGAGTTGTTTCAAATTACGTATTTGGAGTTCGTTATGAAAACTACTATCTGTGACAGAAAATTGTCAATGTAGGTCCAAGTCCTCGTATAGGCCCCATATATCAATACCACCCTATATTCGGTATTTTGATGATTTTAGGTACAATACCCATCGAAATTGTTTGAGATGTGGTATTTGAAGTTCGTAATGGATGGTACAGCCTGTGACAGATAATTGTCTATGCAGGTGCAGGTCTTCGCACAGCTCCGATATAACGGTACCTCCCTATATGCGATATTTTAACGATTTTAGCTACATTAATCACTGTTTATTTCAAGTGTCGAGTTTGAATATGGTAATGGCTTATGACAAACAATGCCTATGTAGGTCCACGTCGTATAGACCCCAACAGACGGCTATATTTGGTATTTTTAAAATTTTAACAGAATTTTTAAGAATTTTATTTTTTGAAAATTTTTAAACTCGTTCCTAAAGGTGGAGGGTATTCAAAGTACGGCCCGGTACTGCTTTTTAACTTGTTAAATTTTATTAAATAAAAGCGAAAAATGTCGGAAATTGCATCAAATGTTATAATAAGTTTACGAATTGGTCACCTTGGGCACGAATTATGGCCTTCAAATGACCAATGAAACCGTCACACGCTGCCCGAATGTTGTTCTGCAGTATTTTGGCCCATTCCCGGCGAATGGAGTGATCGACACTTTGGTATTTTTTCCGGAGATTTTGGTGGTCATTGTGCTCTAGAAATGAAGTGAGGAACCTCATTTTGTAACCATTCGTGGGTGGCGCGTGCTGAATGTGATAGTGCTGAATCCTGTTGGAATGTCCAAGGCCAAAATGTTTTCGTGTCCACGGCTCGATCACTGATGCCACGGTCGATCACCATGACCGGCGCTTGAGTTCTGGTGGCCGAACCGAAGGTTCACATTTTCAGCTGACCTGGCGTGTTTGGCAAGTAAATACGATCATTTTGTTTGTTTACAAACTGCTGGACAACTACTGTTTTCTCATCGGAGAAAACCAAATTCGGTAGTTCACCACTTTCGGCCAAGCGAAGTAACTCTTTAGCTCTTTTAAGTCTATTTTCTTTCTGTGGCGGTGTAACTTCTTGCACTTTTTGGAATTTCAATGACTTTGCCCCAAATCTCATTCTTCAATATTTGCCGAATGTAATATTGCGATATGTTCAGCTCACGCGATTATGTCGGACAATTTCTGCTGATGTTGCTGTTTTTATCCGTCCTCTTCCTTGACGTCAGGCTACGCTATCTGTATTACGGCCCGGTTACGAGCGATGGTACGAGACACAAAAGATTTATTCACATTTAAATGCTGGGGTGCTTTAACGATATCCTCTCGTGGGTTTTCAGCCAAATATAAAAAAATCACACCATCACGCTTGAATTTCATCACGAATAAGTTTTTTTATGGAAAATTCTCACCAAAAACCTTTGTACACTTGTAAACAATATAATAAGCTGTCACTGGAATAGTTTTAACAGCTGTCGAACGAGTGGCTTAGAAATAACAGCAGTCTGAAGTTGGTTGCAGTTTTTTCATCTCACCCTGTATTTCGTAAATATTTGTTTCGAATTTTACCCATTTGAAATGGCTTTGAATTTTACTCCCCAACACCATTCCACCATGTTCGAAACATTTGGTAGCTGCGAATGAACATTACTATAAAACAAGACATTCGATATGCATGGAATTGCTCTACAACTTGTACGTGCTGGTAGACGATAACATTTCTAATTTTTATCCGTGAGTGTGTGTATGTGTGTGTGGGTGGATCACAATAACGAAATGTAGAAGAAATCAAAACTTCAAATATATGTGTATATGTGTGTATTTTAAAGAAAAATCCGCCTGTAGCTTTGGCGTTGGCTTGCAAACGTGTTTTTTTAAAGAATATTTTTAAAGGAATTCTAGGGACCTTCAGAATATGTTTTTTAGAAGGACCTCTGGACCAACAAACGTGAATTTTTTAAAGAACATTTTAAGGAATTCCAAGGACCTTCAAAATATGTCTACAAGGACCTCTGGACCAACAAACGTGGATTTTTTAAAGAATAACATTTAAGGACTATCAACAAAATTGGATTTTTGGAATAAGTTTTAAGGACAATGAACAAAAGTGGATTTTTTTAAAAGAATATTTTTTCAAGGATCAACAAACGTGGATTTTTTGACGAAGATTTTTTCAAGAATCAACAAACGTTGATTTTTCGACGAAGATTTTTTCAAGGATATTTGACGAATATTTTTTTCAAAGATTTTCAAGGACCTCCAGACCAAGAAACGTGGAGTTTTTGTAGAATATGTTCTCA